GAAGAAAAACACAAAAGCTAATTGTAACCAATTGACACACTTTCTACAAGATGTAATGTAAGATGATTATTTTTTGTGTGTGTTGTTTGTTTAATTAAAAAAATGTTTTTTTTTAAAAGAAGCAGGAGTTGAAACAGAGACAGAAACTCCTGGTTCAAACTGTACATCTGCATAAAAATATGTGTCAATCCTGCTGTCTATTTTCATAAACTACAACAAAAGGGTTATTTTTGTCTCCTATCACTTCCTTACAAACATATGGCTTGTTCTAGTTGTCATTGAGAGAAAGGACGGATGCAAAGCCTGATTGGAAATACGTTTGTACTCTTAACTCATCAATAAAGCAAAAGAGTATAAGAATTTAGAAGAGTTTACATACTTTCATAGGACCAGGAACCTCTGTTACAGGGTCATGCTTGAAACTCTGGCCGACAATTCTCTTTTCTACTTCATCTTCTTTGAAAGAAAACTGATTGACGCTGCTGAGGCAGTGAACATCTTCATTTCCAAAAGTGTCCAGCATGAGTTCATTCTTAGTGCTTTCTGTTCCAACATCCTGCAGTTCAAGCTGTGGATGACAAAATTCTGTATCCAAATTAATTTCCAGTTGGGACCTCTTCCTCTGATTCTCTTCTTCAAGATTCAGAGACTCTTCAGGTGCTTTTCTTTTTTTCCTGATCTGAGACCCAGACTGAAAAGTATTTCCAGCTGGCACCGAGCAAGGATTTTCCAGTTTAACAAACCAGTTTAATTTTCTTTCTAAATTAGCATTGCTGCTAGTATGGGTCATAATCTTCTGACATAAATGTTTCAGTTGCTGTTGACATGTGCTGGATAGCAAGACAGGGGTAAAAAAACTCCTCTCTTCCATCCTCGCTTGTAGTAAATCCCTTAATCTCTGTACCCATAAATCTGGATTGGGATCTTTTCTAGAGGCCTGGAGCAGGCAGCTGAGGCAATCCTTTGGCACTGTAGATTGTACTATAAGCAACAAGGAAAAGAGATTTCTTTGGCACAACACTGGAAGCAGCATCAATACTGGTTTCCTGAATAATGATATAGTAGATAGAAAACAAAAACACATTTCTTCAATATTATAAGACAAAAATGTTCATTATGTAACACAGATAGTGCAATTTGTTGTTCAGCACACTACAGGCAATATTTTTATTTTATTATTATCCCCAAAATCCTTATTTCCTTTTGAAGCTCAAGGCAATGCATATCAACATATCCTCACCTTCCATTTTTATAGCAATAACACTTAGACTTATATACTGCTTCATAGTGCTCTACAGCCCTCTCTGAGCAGTTTACAGAGTCAATATATTGCCTACAACAATCTGGGTCATTTTACCGACCTTGGAAGGATGGAAGGCTGAGTCAACCTTTAGCCTTGTGAGATTCGATCTGCCAAACTGTAGGGAGCCAGTGATCAGCAGAAGTAGCCTGTAGTACTGCACTTTAACCACTGCACCACCACAGTTTATAACATCTATCGTGTGAGGTACAGATTGAGGATCACAGATTGTGATTGAGCTAATATGTTTCAAGATGGAGGGAAGATTTGAATCTGATTCCAACCCAAGGTTTAACCACCACACCAACTATAATAGAATTCTCTCTGAAGCTAGGAAGGCAAAAATTGCAGATCATAAAATATTAGTGTTCACCTTTTTTTAAATCACCAGGCAAACATGGAATTACATTTACTCAGTTAGAAAAAGGAATCAAAGAGGTTCTGCCCTTAACACAGTTATTGATAAATAAGGTGCTAAACCACACATATCAAGTCCCCAAGTTAAGGTGCTAAACCACACATATCAAGTCCCCAAGTTAAG